GAGCTGTGATATGTACAATAGTCAGAGAGGTTCTGATTAGGCCTATTCCTAGGCCTCGAACCATGCCCCCAGCCTATTCCTCTACGAAGGGCCTATTATGAAGTTCCAGCTTGCGGGTCGGTGGTCATTGGGTTGACATCTTCATATGCCAAAGTTGGAACTGTGTTCAAAGTGGTTGTGAAGTGCTTGCCCTGAATTTTCATTACAAGGTAGGTTCATCTGGTAGTCTATCAAGTGGGAGGTTGGTCTCCTGGCGCGTTACCTCTATTAAGGTAGGAGGCCTCTGCTGGCCCGATTTTGGTGTTCAATCAATTTATCATTGATTATCACCCTCTCACCATCTCCAACAAGGCATCATCGGTGGTGGGATCTTGGTTTTGCACGTCCCTCCCAAATAGGGTGTTCATAATCAGACCTCTTCTCAATGCTGATAAAGCCTCACGATCGATGACTTGCACGTAATACATCATTTAGTCAGTAAAGCGTGATAAAAAGTTCTTTAGGGATTCCCCATGCGTCTGTCTCATTCTTGAAGGCGTTGGATAGGGACCTCTCCATCGTTGCTCACCGTAAATCTTTTTAGGAAAGTATTTTTGAATTTTGGCCAACTCCTTATGCTCCCCGGTGGCAGCCTACTATACCAGATTTTAGCCGCTCCACTAAGTGTCAAGTGAAAAGCTGTGCACTTTACATCTGGGGTGGCGCATCTAAGGCTCATATGAGCTTTATAAGCACTTCGGTATTTCTCTGGGTCACCTCTTCCATCATACTTTGGTATTTTGGATATCACATAGTAGCTCGAAACCTGGGCACTCCTTAGTTTCCTTGAAAGTGGAAGATTTTCATCATCATCATCCAAGTCATAGGACCTCTGCTACTCATCTGAGTCATTGTTCTCATCGGCCTCGTACTTGGGTGGCTAATGAGAGGATCCAGCTTGCGTCCTAGCCTCCTCTTCCCTCCTTTGGCGCCTATTTCTAAGCGAAGCAGCACAGGGGCATTTTCATGCCTTTCTTCCAGCTGATGACTAATTGGAGGTAGGGGCTATGGCCTAGTCCAAGGCTATCGTGGCTATTGCTGTTGCTTGCGCTTCGGTTCTGCAAGGCTGATTTTGTCAAATACGTTGTTGGACCTCCTAGGTCTTTGCTCTAGCTCATATATTGGTGGAAAGTTTTCTTGGTTATACCGAGCCTGGTGGGTTGGCCTGCAGCATAATTGGATGAAATACGAACTTCCACCTCTCTTTTCATGGGGCTTCTGCCTCGACTGTATTCTGGTTATATAGCCCTTTGGCTTTGGACTTCATCTTCTTGTTGGTGATGTCCTTGGAGTGCATAGGGAGGAATATGGAAGTCTTCCTAGCCCAGCATTTGGACCATGAGTTCTCTCATGGCCATGTTTTAGCTATATTGTCCCTCATATTTGCAGCCATTGTGGTCATATCTCTTGACAACTGAGCAGCCATTCGCATGCCACCTCTTTTGTGGTGGCGATGAGATCGATGCCGAGTTGAAGGGCAGCTGCTGGTAGGGGCACTCCCACATTTTTCTTTACCCTCCTAGGGGGTATATCCTCGTCTGAACTCATTCTTTTGTGTTCCAACTTCAACTTGTTGCAAGTTATGAGGCTTCCACTTGTTCTTTTTCAAGAACAAATCCTTTTTAAGGGGGATGCCCAAATGTTCTTCTTTAGTAAGCTTTTCAACACGGTTACTAGTGGTTATGGTAAGATTTTCCACAGACGGTGTCAATCTGTTGACGACAAAAAATGTTTCCAATAGATACCCAATCCACCAACGCACATGCAAGTCTAGTCCAACACGCTAAGATACATGGACGGTCTAAAATGAACAGATTAAGGGCGTGGAAGCGGCTCAAAAGCGTGGGACGAGAACGTTCAGAATCCAGCGAGATATTTGCATGAACGATTGTACAATAATTACAACTCAATGCTTGTGAATTTGTTTATGATCTCAAGTTGTATTGCAAGATGGTAAAGAGATTGTTGAATAAACTGTATTAAGAGAGTAAAAATGTGTAATCTTGGTTCTTGTATTGAATCTTGCATTATCCTTGTGAGAGATGCATGACGGAGTATTTATAGTATTACAAGTTAGATTGTGGCCCTCGGTTGGGAATACATGTGGCCTCATCTTGTAAGTTTACATGTCAAATTATAGACATCACATTTGATTACCTAGCCTGTTATATATTTATTAATTGGCGGAGCTGCCGCTACTTTGACAAGACAAGACAAGACATTTACACTCTATGATGGGTCCCTATCAATCAATCAAGAAGGATTCTTGTGTCAGATCGGATCTCTAGGGAAGAGTGCTGCTTAGGGCATCCAGGCCTCGGCCTCAATATCCTGGGCCTTGGCTAGACAATCCACGTCGGCCTATGCACTTCGATCGTCAACATCTAGGCCACGTCATAGGTGTTGCTTCTGTATATTGGTTGACTTCTGTTGGCCTACTGGCCTCGGCTGGGACGTCACGTGGTTCGGCATGAGTGGGCCATGGGCCCCAGTGAGTCGGCCAAGTGTGCCAACAAGTAACAAAATAATTACACGCAAACAAGGAAAATTAAAGAGCACAATATAAAAATGGTAAACAGAATTGAGAGAATGTAAACGATTTAATTATGGAGGTTTGATCCAATACAACGATCTACGTATTCCATTACCGATTTCTTTGACATGACCAAAGCCTTTTCACTAAATTTGATTGACTTACAGTACAAATCCAACCTTCTACAATGCTTCTGATGACTTACAAATAATGAGCACCGATCCTTATACAACATTAAGCTTTATGAGACCCCTAAACGACCCACAAGTTCGAAGAATATAAAGTTTACAAATTGAAATTTCTCTAACAATAAATGATATATTTAAAGTTGAGAACAACAAGAGAAGTGGGGTTAACAATTTAATAAATAACAATTGGGTAAAGCTCAAGTGTTGGATTTGAAAAATTTTGATGAATGAAATGATTTTCAAAAGTAAGATCAATCGAGAGTTTTTCAAAAGTAATTGAACTGATAAAAATAAATAAAGAGTAAAGATCAAATATTTTAGCTCAAAAGAATCTCACTTTAATGCTCTAGAATTATGTAAATAAATGCAAACGAATATGGTATTTATAGCAGTGAAACCGAAAAAAAATCTGTCCAACCAGACGAGTCTAAGTGACGTCCACCAATGTACAGGAAAGTACAGTAGCCGTTGGGAGTTAGAATTCAGAACGGTAATATTTTTTGACGTTGGGGCCTACCAAATGTCCGCCAGTCTTACTAGACCGTTTGGTATGACATATTTTCCACAATTTTCCTTCTTTTATTTTTTTGAAAAATGTAATCTTTTGAAAGATATTTTTAAATGATTTTTATAAGGTTGAGATATTTACCTTTGAAAAATGACTTTTTTTTTTTTGCTAACATTTTTGTAAAGTGATTTTTTCTTGTGCATAAAATCAATTTTGAGCTTTCAACGATTCATTGCCAAGTATTAAATTATTTTACCTTTACATATGAATACAAAAAGTCTAAGTCTAATATCTTCAATGTGTTGACTTGGTGAAGTACTTGTCTTGAATGATTTGACATGCATACTTAGCTTTTATCTTGACTTTTATTGAGCATCTTTTAAGAGCCTTTTGCTAGCAATCTCTCCATCATCAATTTTAGCTATGACCATTCAGATACAATTGCAAGAAATAAAAGCAATTTGTTTGTTATAATCAAAATATGAAGTCAACACTTAATTATAATAAAGTACCTAAATAGATAGATTAATTGAAAAAATCATGACTATACTTAACAATAAAATACTCGGAAGGGTTTTCGAAAGAAATTATGTTTTGGAATTAAAAGCTGGAACTTTTTGGAATTAAAAACTGGAATATAGTCATGTTTTGGAATTAAAAGCTGGAACTTTTAATTCCATGACAAAGAGCTGGAACTTCATGAGTTAGAATTAATTCAATTCTTGATATAACATACACGTAAAAATTTAGATGATCTTGTTTATTGAATTTAAAAAAATTAATTTCTAGATAATTCCTCTTTTGCATTCCAATGGAGGATTCATCACTACTAAATAGTAAGAGATTAAGATTTACATTTCATTCAGTTAAATTGATAACGAAATCCGTAGCCAAGGTGTATTCATAAATCAAAAATGAGTTTTGACTTATATTGACTTAATAGTGGAATGAAAGATACGATCGATAATCGAGATTGACACACTTTCATATCTAGTAATTGATTAGATCATATTGACAAAAGGATTATAGTTTTTCACAGAAAATGAACAAATTTGATTTTGTCATACCACGTGATATTTTTCGTCACATATATTGTCTTGACACATTGCTAGATATCAATTTGGGACGACGGATGTGAATTAGTAATAAATTAAAATGGATGTTTTAATTTATTGATTTTGATTACATCAAAATAATATTTCACATTGTTAGGTATCGTGATAGGGAATCTAATGAGCCACACAAAAAAGGAGAACTAGAAGAATGAGATTTATCAACTAATTAATTAACAAGGGTTGGATAATTAACTAGTTGAGTTGCTTATCAATAGGCCCGGATTAAATTAATTTATAGAGTAAATTTAATTAATTGATTAATTAAATATTGGATAAGGTTAAATTTAAAAGGTGGGCCAAACCCGTTTGGACTTATATTACTGGCTGCTAGTGTTACAACTCAAATTTTATTAGTCAAAAATCAAATGTTGAATTGTTAAAGTCAAAAAGGAATAAAATGAAATAATTATTTCAATTGGGAATAAATTTATTGTGGAAAATATTTTGAAGGTTTAAGTTGGACATAATAAAAGTTTTGGAATTACTTATATATTTTTGAAAGATTAAGATGTAACTTTATATTCTATTAAAGAATAGGGACTTTCCTTGCAATATGGAGTAAGTGGGCCTTTATATTACAATTTTGACCTTTTTTCCTCTTAAAACACATACACACACACAGTGGAAAATCGGGCAGTGAAGGAGTGGACGGCTGGGAAAGAAAAAACTAAGGAAAAAGGGTGGAAAAGAGAGAGAAAAGAAGGAAAAAGAAAAGGAAAGGGAAGAAGAATGAAGAAATCTTATGCCAACTACTTCAAGTTTGTTTCTTTAGTTCTTCAAAAGGTAAAGGTTAAGATTTTATGGTATAGTTATGGCAAAAAAATTTTAGGGTTCTAAGGAATTATGGGTTAATTTTCAGATTGAAGGAAGGAGCATGATTCCAAGCCAATCTTTTTATTTGTGAAAGATTTTTTGTGCCAACGTAAGAAATACCAACTTCTAGCAAACCCTAGATTTTTAAATTGGATAATTAAGTAAAGATTAATTGTGGAAATGATCATGTGATGAAATTATTCACTTGAAAGAAGGATTTTATGGAGCCACATATATATTAAATTGGTTGAAGTGTGATAGCTATTTTTCACTAGATTGGAAGAGATAAATTATTTTTATGCCTTGGATGACGATTAATTGGAGTAATTGGTTATTAGTAAAGGACTAGAAACTGGAATCAACTCCAATTGATTAAAGGAAAGTTTTGGAAATTTATTCAAGTATTGAGAAATTTAGTTTATGTATTATAACATTAGATATTAAAGGTTTCTTGATTTGATAGTGGTTAAATTGGCTATTAATATCGTATTTCAGGTGGTAACAAGGAGGTGAAAATGTTTATCAGGTAGTCTAGCTTGTAACTCGTACTTTGTGAGTGGATACAAACTTATTTTTTCGAAATTAGTATTTATTAAATTTATATCAGATCAGAAATTTATTATTTCATACAGTTGATTTGACAGCATGATTTTTAGAATAAAGTGGATTTATAATTAGTTATTTTTAAACTTAAATTTTGTTCAATTAAATTATTTGATTAGCATGTTATATGAGTACAAATATTTCAGTATAGATAAAGTTATTTCTAAAAATCACAGGAAAGTACCCAGGTGATTTTACCCTAGTCTACACTGGTGTGAATGTGTTTCTACAGTGTACGACTAATTATGGTTATTTTACATGCTCTGCACTATTGTGAATATATTTCCATAGTGTATGATCACATTATCAGATGTCTTTGGGACCTCCTCTTGTACACACACACGCTTTAGGCTGTATGTTAGCGTTATTAGTCTTTGGGACAGCTCTGCGTATGTATAACTAGATTATCAGATATAAATGGCTTTACTTTGTACATCAAGATTATTCTGTACATTAGTAAGTCTATTCATTGGGTACCTTTTTGGTGTGATTTTCAGTATTATGTAGCTTATCAGATTTCAGACTACATAATTTATCTTATTCAGTTTGTCGGGTAATGATTTCGACTTATAGTGTTGTGAAGTGATATTTTTACTTATATTTACTGTTATCAGATTATTTATATTCATTATACTTTACAGTTGCTTATCTAGAATGTAGACCAAAGAATTTTATGATGCGTTCATCTTTGGTTTTAAAAGTGTTACCAGATTTTAAAATATTTAGAAGTTTTAGTACTGCAAAATTTTTTAGAAAATATGCATAAACGGGAAAAGCATACTTATTTGTAAACTATCCATTCACTAAGTTACAAGCTCATATATTTTGTCATGTTTTTCTTATTAGGAAACCACTGAATTTGAGATATCTGGGAAAGCCTGCTGAAGTCAAGAGCCTAGTTACCCGTCATTTAGTGCATGATCTTAACCGTGTCATAGTATGTAGTGTATGGTGGGGGACTCATGTTTATTGAGCACTTTGCCTAATATTTTGTTTGATTTATACTTCGTAGAAAGGTTTATAATTCATATAATGCTTACATGTAGACATGATATTTTGTAGTAGAAGTACTCAGTCGAGTTTAATTGTATTTTATTTTAGTTGTGGCGGTATTGGTAGAACTGGTGGTTCCCAAATTTTTTGATTTAATTGTTTATATGAGGTTTTGTTGATTTTCAGGTTGGTTTAGTCCATGTTTCAAGAGAAACTCTGTCAAAATTTTCATAAAAATATGTCACAGTCTAACTAGGTCAAGGTTGCCTTGGTGGTAGGTCCGACATTTAGCTAGTATCTATCATCGGCGCACGAAACGTGTCGAGTCCATTAGGTTGATTCGGAACGAGTCGTATCAGCTAGGATTTGAAATACTGTAGAGAATACAATTCATATAAAAAACCAGCTCTCCCAATCTTGTTCCCTGTTTCGATTTTCATTGGAGGCTGAATAATTAAACAACTATGGATTGTAGATCGTAATTGTTAGAGTTCAAAAAAAGCAAAGAAGTTTACAGAATTTTACAAATGTATGATTTTTATCACGGTTTCTATCTAAACACAAAAGAAATTCTTGATGGGAATTGAAATTTTGTTTAAATTCCGTTGTGCTTGATTAAGTAAATTCCGCTGTGGTTGATTAAGCAAATTCTTTCCCTAAAATTTTCCTTAAGATTAGAGTTAGACTCTAATTTGGTATTTAATTAAAATTTGATTGTAATTAAGGGATTGTTTGATAGAACTTATTTGGGAATAATGAGCTATTGAATAATATTTTTTTGAGAATGTATGGCTAAAAAGTAAAAAAAGTTGATTGATTTATGTATAGAATATTTTATTGTGTAAATGTGTGGTAGAAAATAATTCTGTAGCAAATAATTTAAATTTTTAAAAGATGAAAAATAGGAGACAAATAAGTTCGTCATAAATCTTGGAATTAGAGTTAACCGCCTTAAGTTTTGAAATTAGAGTTGGACTCTAATTTGACGTTTAATTAAAATTTGATTTTAATTAAATAATTCCGCCCTAAAATTGTGGAATTAGAGTTGGATTATAATTCGGTATTTAATTAAATTTTGATTTGAATTAAATAAACTCACTAATTAATTGATTGATTAATTAATTAATTTTTTAATTGTTCCAATCATTTGTCTAGATTAATTTCGGTGACCTTAATTGCTAGAAACTTGAAACATATATGCATATTATATTAGATATTATATATGAAAGCATTTACATGATGAATGTTTCACAAATGGATAATTATGGACTCGATCATGTGAATGTGTTGAATGATAAGTTTTACTCTTGCTGTTTTATGAGCCTGCTAGTTATTATTTATTTTGGACCTACGAGTCCATTGTAATTCTATAGGCCTGCGTTCCAATTATTTAGGCTCGCATATAGATGCATCATTGTATGAGTCAATGCAATAGCCCATAGGAACTAACCAACTAGTCTTTCTTATGGCTCGAAAAGACTAGTTAGTAAAAGTCCATAATCGTCTACACTATCATAATGTGTGTGTGTGTTTTCATGTTAGATGTATAATAAAATATGTATAATTATTACATTAAGATCTTTGTACGCGAAACACCTCGTTAAAATATTAAGTTATATTTATATTCGCATTTTTTCATTATAGTGAAAAACTAGAGTTCTTAATCGATTTCAGTTTGTTGAATACACTCAAGGCTAGTCTATTATGGATATGTTTGACATCATGAAATATTAGATGTTTCTAAATGATTGATTTGAATAACTAAAATTCATCTTTTGTTGAATTTACTCAAAGGGAAGAATTTCAGAGGCATGTTAAGCTAAGACATTAAACGTGTGAAGATAAGGACTTATCAGGTTAATGATCTAGGAGTTGTATGGAGATACAATTGATAATAGTATCTGCCCAAATATTTTATTAAGAATTGTTGAGTACACTAAAAGCCTTAATATAACAAATGGGATCCCCGCCCACAGGGAGTCAAGTATAGATTCCATGAATTTATACGAAAAATGTTATAAATTTCAGTTAAACAATGGAAACATAATTAATTTGATAAAAGACCATTTTAAATTAATTGATGCATTTTATATATTGTTATTTTACTTTTCGGCATTTATATTTATGGTATTATGAGTAACCATATATATTTGAGAGGCATAATGGATGCTAAAAATCAAGTCTTCTTGATTGCCACCAAATCTGAGAATTTTTCTCAGGCATGAGAAACTTGGTTGTCCTTGAACAGTCATTTCTAAAGACACCTGCTAATGACTCAATTAAGGAAAATGTAGCTACTATAATAAATACGGTGATGACGGTAGTATTGTACGTGTGAAGCTTGCAACTATTTCACCTGAGTTACATGAGAGTTTAGATGCTAACACATGATTTTTCATTTCAAAGAGTTGTATGATAATAATCACGGGTGGAATGATAGAAGACTCCTAAGAAATTATATTAGTGCAAAATGACATAGAAATCTTCAGTCAGTACTCATGAACTGAAGATGATTGGCATTGAGAAGTTGTCTCAATTAAATTCAATCATGAACCATGAACTAAGTATTAACTTGGTTCTGCATTCTCTGTCAGAGAGGGCTATTCACAATTTATTATGAATTTACTATGAATAAAATCGAATGCACATTAATTGAATTGCTGAACATGCTTAAGACTGTGAAGCTCAAAATCAAAATTTGCAGTGCACAAATCTTAGTCATTGATTCCCATAAGGGTCGTAAGAGGAAATCTAAAGGATATTTTAGGGAAGCACCCAGGACGGCTAAGACGCTTAAAGCAAAGAAGAACAATACCAAATCTAATGACCCTTATTATCATTACAAAATGAAAGATTATTAGAAGAAAGATTGCAAGGCTTATTTCTCCTTCACTAGCTTCTTAGGTAATATATACCAGAAGTGGATCTCACATTTATACAAATATGGATGAGCTAAATAGAAGTAAACCGCTACAAAAGGGAAAAGTTGACATGCATGTTGAAGCATACCTCTTGCCATTGCCTGTAGACTTACTATTGGAATTAGAAAAATGTTACTTTGTATCCACCATTATCTGAACATTAAATAAATTTCATATTTGGACATGAACTATTTTAATGTTAAGGACAATTGTTGTTCCATTTTATCTTGATAAGATCTTAATGATTATGAAAAATTACAAAAGTGACATTTATATTCTAAATACTGAGTGTTCTATAATGAGTTTAGAAATTAGGAAGCATAAAAGTGATAATCTAAACATTAACAATGAACAAATCTCCTTTTACTTGAAAAGGAGAAAAAGTTTGCATAATTACTGGCCTAATATATAGTGATGTATATGGACTTGTGTCGATTAATACTAGATGAGATTTATCTTCTTTTATCACATTTGGTTACGACTATTTTAGTATACTTGATGAAATTCAAGCATAAAGCTCTTGAAAGATTCAAGGGATTTAAGTTAGAAATAGAGGAACAATTAGGTAAAGACATTCTCACACTAAGATCTGGTCGAGGTGGGGATACATTAAAGATGAGATTTTAGATTATCTAGAAGAGAATGTGATTCTCTTGTAGTGGACTTCTCCACATAAACTGCAACAATGTTGTGTATCTAAAAGGAGGAACCGTAAACTATTAGATATATTGAGATTAATAACAAGCCATGCAAACCTCCCAAAATTATTTTGATATCATACATTGATTGCAGCTTGCTATACCCCGAATCATGTCATATCTAAGTAGGTTAACAAAAACTCCATATGAGCTATAGGAAAAAAGGCAATAGTCTCAATTTATCCCATAAAAAAAGTTTGGGGATACGATGCTTATTTGAAACATATTGAATTGGATAAACTTGAGTCCATACCCGACAAATACATATTTGTGGGGTATCCAAAACAGATATTTGGATATCAATTTTGTAAACCCATTGAGAAGAAAGTCTTCATCTCATGACATTCTGTATTTCTAGAGAAAGAATTCATTCTACTAAAGGACAATGTAAGCAAAATAGAACTTGAAGGAGTTCAAGAGTCCACAGATATAATTGACCAAGTAGATGAATCTAAGTTTGATCTCACACCTGCTGAGGGACATACTCTCAATCAGGAAGTAGAGATTCCTAAGGACATGTCATCTTTGTGTAAATCTGGTAGGATCATTCGACATTCATTAATGTGCGAATCCATGATTACTAATCGAGGATGATGAACCTACCAATTGCGTAAAAAACGTTAAGTGTTAACTCGAAGAGATAGCAAAAGGGCATGAAATTTGAGATGAACTTGATATATGTGAACAAAGTTTAGACATTGATGGACTAGCCTGATGGGATAGAACCCATAGGTTAAATAGGTTTACATGAAAAGGTCAACATGGATGAAAACATCCATATATACAAAGTGAGGCTAATAGAAAAGGATTATAAACAAAGAAAATGACTTGGCTTTGATGAAACCTTCTAGCCTACAACCATGTTAAAGTCCATTTGAATTTTGTTTGCAATATTTACATACCATAATTATGAGTTATGGTAAAAGGATGTCAAAACTGGATTCCTTAACAGGGACTTGCGAGATAAAATGTATATGACAAGTCTTGAAAGTTTTGAATACAAATATGCTTACAACGTATGCAAGCTTAATTAATTCTTATATGAATTGAAGCAAGCCTCTTGGAGCTGAAATTTTTGTTTGATGAAAAAATCAAAAGGTTTGATTTTATCAAAACGAACAAGAACTATGTGTTTACAAGAAGATAGCGAGAGTGTTATCGTATTTCTAATATTTTATGTATATAACATGTTAATAGAAAATGACATCCCTTTACTAATAAGCAACCCAGTTAATTAATTACCCAACATTTGTTAATTAATTAATTGATGATTCTCATTCTTCTTTTGTGTGTGGCCCATTAGATTTCCAATCACGATGCCTAACGACGTGAATTATTATTTTGATTTAAATTACATAGTCTTTCAAAGATATACATGTTCTATAGTACTCGCCCTTATGCGTGGCTTATGAGGTAAAACCATTTGAAGTGCTTAGTCTACGAGCGAAAAGTCATTAAGGAGGAAAAAAATAGGGAAAAAAGAAAAGAAAAAAAGAAAAGAAAAACATTTAGCTGCAATTGGTAAACTACTCTTGTCTCATGTTTAGTTATGCAAAATCATGACAC